GATGTGGGGTACAGCCGCGTGTCCGACCACAAACACCACTGGAGCGACGTCCTCGCTGGCCTCCTGCAGGGGGCGCAGGTGGCCGGCCTCACTGTGAGCACCTGCACCCCATGCCCTGCCCAGCCTGGGAAGGTCCTCCAGCACCTCCCAGGACCTCCTCCTGCCCCTTCCTGTCCCTGTCCCCCCAGGACCTCCCACCTGCCCCGTCCTGTCCCTGTCCCCCCAGGACCTCCCCCCCACCCCGTCCTGTCCCAGTCCCCCAGGACTGTCTCCTGACTCTTCTAATATCTCCGTAGCCCTCCTCTTATCCCCCTTCCCAGTCCCCAACCTCCCTCCTCCTCCTCACCTTCTCCCTGTTCCAGGTCCGCTACGTCTCTGACTTCTTCAAGGCTCGGCCCCCGCAGTGCTGCCCGGAGGAGGAGGACCTGGAACGGAAGCCCAGCCTGACCCTGACCACAGCCCTGGGCGAGGCAGACAACCACTATGTGTACCCGGTGTCCGGAGTGGCCTGAGCCCCGCGAGGCCCAGCTCGGCCTGTGTGGGTTCCTCTGGCCCTGAGCGGGCCGGGTGCCCCAGCTGACAGGGCAGTGAGCATGCTGTGCGGCCCCGCCCATGGACCAGGACTCGGGGGCCTGGCACCCTGCCCCCTGCCCTCAGCACCCCTCGAGGGTCAGATGCACGCCGTTTTTGTGAACCCTACTGGATTTTAGTAAACGGGGCATTCTCGGGCAGGCGGTCCCACTGCCCCTGTTCTGGCTGTGCCGAGGATCTTGTCCCTTCCAGGGAGGGGACACCCCGCTCATCAGCCTTGCTGGCTCTGGGGTGAGGGCTGAGAGCAGGCAACTAAACGGGACAAGCCCGAGGCCACCCCTCTGTCCCCTGGCAGTGCGACGCTGGGGCGAGGTCTGCAGGAGCACACCGGGGCCGCCCTGCTGCGTGGACGGACCTGGGGCGAGGGGCTGGATTCGGTGCGGCAGTGCGGGGACGAGGCGGCCAGCCGGAGCGGGGCTCTTCCAGCCCACGTCCTGGCCAGCAGCTCCGAGGCGCCCGAGCGCATCTAGAGCACCTCTTGCCCGTGTGCAGATGCCCTGAAGCCAGTCGCTCTGGCCCAAGTCCCTCCTGTCCTTGGTCCCTTCCCTGCTGACGTTGGCCCCGTGTGCACGCTTGTTCCCCTTGGACCCAAGGGGTCAGTCCTGTCTGGTTCAGGGACAGCTGAAGGGACAGACCGGGCTCTGTCCGCATGCCCCTTCTGCCCCGTGGGAGCAGGGGGTACATGATGCAGGTGCGGGACCCTGGGGCCAGCCCCGAGTGCGTCGGGCAGGCCACAGGGAAGCGGCTGGAACCCTGGACTCGGCAGAAGGCGGTGACCAGGCTAGGTGTGGCGATCTGTGCTGTCGGTGGGTGGGGAAGCTCCAGGTTGCTGTGGTCAGGGAGCGTGATGGTGGCAGCCAGGTCACTGCGCTCTGGTGCGACCTCGAAGGCCAGGACCACAGAGCACAGGGTGGGGCCAGGGAGGACGACAGCTGAGGCTATGTCGCCACCACTGAGCAGAGCAGGAAGACTGTGGGCTGGGCCGTCCCAAGGCCCCAGGAGCCAGGCATGGCACCTTGGAGAGACCGTGGCACTCCCACGTCACGGAGGTCTGCATTTGCAGCGCACGGGGTCGTAGGTCTGTTGCCATGGCTGCTGCCGGGCTGAGGGCGTGCAGCCTAGGGAGGCCGATGTTCCCCCTGCGTGAGCGGCAGGCCTCGTGCACAGCACGGGCCCGTACAGCCTACGCCCTGTGGGTCATGGAGGGTGGTCTCTCTCCCCTCTACAGGGGCCCTCGCTTCCGTTGCGTGGCTACCTGCTATGGGTACCACGCTCTGCTGCATAACCGAGTGCCTGAACTGGGTGGTCTGTGCGGTCGGCATGTGGTGGTCTCAGGCAGCCCTGGCGATGGTCTTGTCCGGTGGCTCTGGAGTACGGCGTGTGAGGGGCGCGAGGGTCATGCGGTGGGTCAGTGGAGGGACCTGCGTCTGACGCCCGGGGCTGCTTGGCACGGGGGTCTTCTCTACCCTGACTGCCTCCCCAAGGCACACCTCTTTGCTTTGTTCCTTCTTTGGTTTTTCAGTTTTGCACTCACTGGACAGCCAGAGAGAGAGGTCTCCTCACAGGGGTGGCCACAGCACGAGCCTCCATCCTCCCCCCAGGATTTGGGGCTTGATGTGCACCCTGGTCCCACACCTGGGACTCGAGCCACACAGTTGGCCAGGTGGGAGCCGGCCGGCCTCCGCGGTCGTGCCTCCTGGCTGGCCCACCCTGTGCTTGCCATTGTGGACGGGCCGGCGTGTGCCATTGTGGACGGGCCGGCGTGCCAGGGTGTGTGTGTGTGTGTGTGTGTGTGTGGCCAAGGCACAGGACTCCCACATGGCTGACCACAGTTCTGGACCTGGCGGCTTGCTTTCTCACTTTCCTTTCTGTCTGTCTGTCTGTCTCTGGTCAAAATTGAAGAATGATGATAATAAAAAAAAAATAAATCTTTAAAAAAATTACTTAAAAACGTGGTGGAATGAGCAGACGGCATGATTACTTCGCTGAACTCCCACGAAATCGACTGCAGTTTCAGGCCTGGGTCTGGCCATTCCCTCTGGGGTGGTGACTTCTTGTTTTCTGTCTTTCTGTCTCTGTCTCTGGCGAGCACACACGCCCTATAGCAAAAATCTCTCTAAAAATAAAAGTTGTGACTTGTTGCACTCGAGCAGCCCAGGTATTCAATGGCATTTTAGGGCAGGGAGACCCTTGGAAGAGTTGGCCAGGCAAGGTGTGGTCAGTGCACCAAGGGAGCATGAAGTTGGTGATTTGGGTCACGGTCCTTGGGGTGGGTGAATGTGGGGTCAGGGTCTTCGGGGTGGGTGAGCACGGGATGGGGGTCCATGGGTGTCGGTGAGCGCAGGTTGGGGTCCGCGGGGGTTAGTGAGTGCAGGCTCATGGTCTGTCGGGGTCAGTGAGCGGGATAGCCAAACAGGAGTCAGTGACCCAAGGAGTGGGTGTGGCAGCTGTCCCTGTGGTCCCCCGCCCCCCGTCGC